ATTTCTGAATCGAACTGGAACTTCAGCTTCCCGGCCTTTTCTTGATACCCAGAATCTTCTAAGCTAGGGCTGCCATCACCAAATTAACGATGTCGGACAAGAGATTTTTCCACGGACACCGCAAAATTTTCTTATAATAAAAATAAAAGCATCGTTGTCATTTTCAGTTTTTTTATTAATTATTTAAATAGCTTGTTAAAAAATTGACATGATCGACTTCAAGTTACAGCAAACAAATGAAATATTCATCTTATTACTAATAAAATTATACCCTTCTCTTTCTGAGAATCTGGAAACAAAAATAATTAGGAGCACCTTTCTTCTTAGGAATACATATATGAAAACTTATCTGGGACTTACATGGAACGGGAGTCGAACAGAATTTCTGGGAAAAAATTCTAAATAACGTTATTTCTTCTCAAAAAGGTGATTAATCATAATCTAGTAGATCCACTTATCCTAGTCCTCATTTATAAATAAACATAAACTGAACCTGATACCGTAAAAATGATAGAGGGCTGAAAATCTTCTACAAAGTAAAATCACGACTACTTAACACTTCAATACCATTAGTGTTCCTATGCACGACGGAAGTGAGGGTTTGGCACGTTCGTAAAACAGAACATGTTATGTGTTTCTCGTCGTTTTGCAACAAGTAAGTGTCTTTGCTAACTGAATACGGGCCGAATACTCGAACGCGTGATCGCTCGTCGGATGGACGATGTGATTGACAGTGTCGAACGCTCAGATGTTAGTGTCTTAATGATTGACATTTATTCACTTCTTCAAATCGTGCTTGTACAAGGTGCTAGGTGCTGCAGGTCGTTGTACCTGGATGATGCGAGTCGTTCTACGAGGGTGCACAACAAAACATTTTTTTGATCATCCGGCTTACATTTTTCAAGATTTTCCTGCGATAAAAAGTCTCCAGAAAATTCCAGATACTTTTTGAAAACTCATTGCGGACGGTTCCTGAACGTCCTCAATACTAGGAAATCCGGGGAATCCCGTACGGATGGCAGCCCTTTTCTAGACATTAGCTCTTAGTGCATTTTTTGTATTATCGACCCTATGCTAGTCATAAATCAGAATTGTTGAACGCAGAGGTACCACCCGGCGGATCTCGTAGGCGGGGCCAGGATGTGTGCATGTTCCATGCACACGTGTTTCCTCGCCAGAGTCCATGTGGCGTTCCCCCTTTCCCCTGTATCCCCCTGTAGCCCCATGGGTACCCCATGGGTGTTTAGGCCTTAGGCCTTCGTGGTGGTTGAAGTATAAAGCATCCCACAAACCGGCGCGAAATATTCGCTTTGGCTGCGAAAATTTCGCGGCGATGAATTCGCGATCAGATTAAAACGCGGCGGTTTACGGACAGGCTCAGACTTGTGCGAAGCGAATGCGATTTTTCCAGCGTTTTTATCGCGGCGTATTTCAGTTCACCTTTGACCGCGTTTTTGACGCCATTGAAAATATTTGTCATCGCCACTTTTACTTCGTAAAAAATTGTGTAAAACACATGCCGTACGTACAATTGGAATAGTAGTATCTACTTTAGTTTCTAATGGCCTGTAAAATATTCGCCATTTTTGAGACAAAATACCAAACGCATTTTCCACGACCCTTCTAGCTCGACAAAGTCTTACATTGTATTTCTCTTTTCTGACGTCTGTTAAAGTCTGCTTATAAGGAAATGGTCTCATAAGGTATGGTTTTAAAGCAAATGCTTCATCACCAATTAAGACGTACGAGCAGATTTCATTTTGCCCAGGGAGAAATCTAGGTGCAGGGACACTCATTAAATTTTGTTCAAATCGTTTTCCCATGTTTGAGGTTTCGAAAATACCCCCATCACTATTTTTTCCGAAACCACCAATATCAACACATATAAATTTATAGTCCGGGCCAACAATGGCCATAAGTACTATTGAATATTTATGTAAATAGCACCAGTAATTGGAGCCACTATTGTTAGGTCTCTTGATTGTTACATGTTTACCGTCCACGCTGCCAATGCAAGTGGGAAATCCCCATCTATTTTCAAATTCTTCAGCACATTTTTTCCATATATTCTCTGTTGGTTCTGGTAAATATATATGCTCCATATGTCTGCATATCGCTTCACAGACTTCGGTTACGATTGCACTCACTGTTGTAAAGCCAACTCGAAAGCTATGCCCAATGGTATAGAAGGTGTCACCAGTGGCAAGGAATCTATAAAAAAAATCGTTTTTAGGTGATGAAGTAAAGAAAAGGTGGAAGAATATCAGAGACACATTTGGAAAATATATAAAATCTACCAAACCAAAGACCGGCCAAGCAGTGGGCAACATAAAAAAATGGCAGTGGGCTGACTACATGGAATTTTTCCGTCCTTTTTTGGCATTTGCCAAAACGTCGTCTAATGTGAAAGATATTGACGTCATACATTATGAGACTGCCGAATTTAACTCAAATATATATCAGGAAAGGGCTGGAAATGTAGAAACCGAAAATTTGGAAGACCGCGGCCATGGAGAAGATGAAAATGCTGATGTAGATGCAGAAGATGCACAGAACGCCTCGGCAACACAGACAGCACCACCTTCTTCATTGAACACTACAGCAGTGACTACTCCAGGGCACACCTTTCCGCAGACTGCACCTACACCAAAATATAAAACGAGCAGAAAACGCTATGAACCACCATCTTCGTCTGTACAACAGCTCATTAATTATTTTGAAGGTAAAAAACCTAAAAAAGAGAACGAGGCCATTGATACACTTTTCTTGGCACATGCACAGACTGTAAAACACTTCCCTTAAAGCGTCAAGCCCGAATAAAACTAAAAATAGCCGAATTAATAGCGCACGAAGAATTTGAACATATTGAAGAAATGTCTTCAGCGTCTACCCACAATTCTGCAAGTATGTATGATAGTATGTCGTCCTTCCCAAGCGGCACTGGGTTTACTCCAATAATATTCCCAACAGAGGAGGCAAATTCTGCCTCGAATTATTTAGCAACATTTAATCCTAGTGGCAACATGTAGTCCAATTATTACAATAAAATATTTATTTCACGATCCCTGAAGTTTTCGTATTCGATAAGCCTACTAATTTTATTACATATAATTTTTTTACCTGAGTGTAATAGCAAGTCGTTCTTCTGGCGAAATAGCTTCACGATAATTTGTGTCAGATTTTCGTATTTCATCTTTCACCAAGTTCAATATTTCATCGAAACACTCTGGAGTCATTCTAAAATATACGTAAAAGTGCTGTTCATCCAGCCGAAGTTGTGGCATCAAGGTATGGTATTCCCCAAATTTATTTCGTTCCAAGATAATATCATGTACCCAGTTCCTTCGTTTCCTAAACAAAATTGAAAATATTTGTTTTATGTACTTCGTTAAACTTAATACGTACCCAACTATCAAATGGCGTTAAATAAACATAACTTACCGTGCATTTTGTTCCTCTTCTAAATCAAGAAATAGAAGTGCCTCCTCTTCTTCTGAAGACGAGCTCATTGCAAAAGGCAAAAATAAAATGTACGCAACCTGTCGAAACCTTCACGTTCGCGGAGCGAATAAGACGCTTTGGTATGAATAAACGGGCGAAACAGATTGCGAATTTCGCTCTGAATTTCGTTGCGAATACTTCGCCGCGATTATTTCGCGCCGGTTTGTGGGATGCTTAAAAAAAAAGAAATATTTAAATGTTGAAGTCATTGCATTTTTACGCATTTGTAAGAGAACGTAATAAGGCGATGTGGGGAAACATTACCAGTTGATTATGACAGGAAAAAAATAATCTCATCCTTGTTGGACCAGAACTAGCAAGTCGCGTTTCATATGGAGACGTGGTCGACTGTCCTTTGCTGGATGAAAATTAGACACAGAATAACATGGAACATGACAAATAAGTAATCCGATAAGATGCTTATGGAACCCCCATATTATAAAATAGCAGAAGGAATGAGATAGAGTAACAAAAATCTTCGAAAACTGTACTCCAAGAATGGAAGAAGCGCTGCATAGGCTGCATTTACATAAACGTTAACGTTTGTTCGATTATTATGCATAAAGCTAAATTAGTTGTCATAAAATTAAATCCAGCTGTAATAGATATTCAAAACATCAAATAAATTACGGGTGAATGATATTTTTATGGTGGAGTTTTTCTCGGATTTCTGCTTGCTATCGCTTTAACGTTAACGACTGTCCAAGTCCAAGTCGGTCTTTTCAATTCGTTTTCATCTTAAAGAGTTTAATAAATGGGTATTGTCAAACTCCCGAGAATCGGTTGTTTTATTTCGTATCCACGTAGTTTAAATCCTCTGAACCCCAACTGAAACTGAAATCAAAAATTAATTTTATAACTACTACTAAAGTGCGCGCCGTTCTTCAGAAGCCTTCCAAGCATAAGATACCTTAGAACCTTAGATCTTCTTCTTAAATCGCTACCATCTAATAAATGAATTTTCGTCTTATTAGCGGTTTGTTACTCGGCTTCAACCGCACACAATTCTTAATAGCATGAACTTTAAGTTATTGTCGGATTTCCGCTTGAATTCCGGTCTATGTTTGTGATAATACTGACTGACATCGTAATTAACGAATTTCATCGTGACCGCCTTAGCTAATTAATTAATTCATGTAATTAACTGATTAGCTAGTTACGTTTTACTAATTAATGCCAAAACTATAGTTCATTTGCAAGCCATACACGGGTAGGAAGAACGAGCCAGACATCCGTCCATGTAGGGCGTACCTGACGAAAATTCTTGATATGGGAACCGACATCGTTTTTCGGTAGACCATAACTTGGAGTAGGCTTTTGCTCAATACCTGTCAACTAATGCATAGCCCCAGGGCTCTTTCCCTGGTAACTAAAACGTATCTACTAGCGCAAAGCGATCTGTATCTCCCATACTATCACTAGCAATGGAAAATAGAGACAATGATACACGAAAAGGAGAGCAGCAGAGTGGAGAATAGAGATATAAACAGCAAACTCACCGCTTCTGTATGAATAGGATGCACGGCGAACAACATGGCGGCCGCAAAACTCGACAGTTCTGGCAGAAACATCGAGCACATCCTGTAACAAAAGAAGTCAGTTACTATTTTCGATTGACATACATGCGGATTTCTTTGAATGAATTTCAACCTCGCTCAGCTTTTCATCCATATTGAGGTGGTAGAAGTTAAGTGGATCGTCGTTTATGACAAAAAGTAGGCGGAACCAACGAATTCGGACTAGGTAGAAGGAGCAATTATACGATTTTTTTGAGCCAAAATTACATCATCAGTAGTCATACCACAAGTCAATTGGGCTTAACTCTCTAGCTGGACCGTTGTTCACATTGCACAATAAATTCGTATTTTTCTGCGAAAACATATAACGGGTTCCTTAAAATTCCAGTGTTCCAGAGAATTATTAAAAATGGTGAAGGTCCTTGTGGAATGAATGAATCAGTTTAAACTGCATAAATCCATCGCTAAGTGTTAATATATTATAAGTCATCGGCGTTGCGAAGGGGCATGTATTTCAACACTATGCTTTTACATGAAGAGTTCTGCACGGGTATTATGTAAAAAACCGATAAAACGTCAAAAAAGAAAAACACATAAGATGTCATCTTGCAGACTAGGTAGTTTTTAGGGTGCAAACAGTCATTCCACGTTTGCTCACTAAGATCGTTGTGAGCGTCCATCTATGGAGGAATGGCTCAACTACACGAACACGCACTGTTGGTTGCATATGTTTTGTGAAGGCGAGTGGTCTATAGTTTTCATCTCTGAGTCTCTGAGAAGAAAATTGGTTATTTGGTTGAATAGCAAGATCGAGTCTGATCACCTTCGTTAGAGCATCGTCCCAAACTTTCAAAACTTCCTGGTCACTATAGCCATTTTCTCCAATATGACAATGATAGTACTGTTTAGCTATACCCCAGACTAGCTCAATAGGGTTGTATTGACAATGGTAAGGGGGGAGCCGCAAAAATTCATGTCCAAGTTCATGTAATATTTCGTCTATGGTATATCTTGGAGCCGATGGTTTATTAAGGCGACATAGAGTTTAAAAGCGTCGTAATCAAAATGTATCTTTTTGTCTTGCAGCCATTGCTTCAATTGCATTTTACTCCAACTGGAATTGGGCATTTTGTCTGTTAAGGCACTATAAGAGGCATTATCCATGATTACTAAAGGTGCCTCTTGTAACGCTGGTATCTTTGTACTTGGAATCGTGGTAGTCAGCCCTTTTGGATTTTGTAGCAAATAACAATGCAGTATCTCTCAAAAAACCGTTTTTGGTCCCAGTATGGATAATAACATACCGCTTGCCGGTACACTGATGGCCGCTTTTCATCTAAGAAGACGCATTGGAGAGGGCTTGTACTATTCAGGTTATTCATATAATGTCTCATAAAATAGATATGTTTGGAAACAATGTTTGATTTTTCACTCAAGAGCGGCGGTTATCCTCTGTAACCAAGCTTTCAATAGACACCTTGATCTTGAATCTGAGACATTAAATATGTACCTTTTTTAAGCTCCTGATCGAGCGCAGACGTCGTGATATGTTGTCCTTTACTTCTCATATTGTAGAAAGTAGTCCTAATTTCTGTTTTGACGGCATCACTTACATCATCGGTCTTGCATTTTTTGGTTTTTTCAGGTGTTACTATGGGCAAACCTTTCTTATTTTCTGATTTTATTCGCTGAACACTGCGCAGACTAATCTTCAGCGCATCTGCTACTTACTCTCTCCAGTCCGTATGAAGTGGGTAACAGGGGACCGCTGTTTTCATTTTCATAATGGAAATACTCTAATAAATGTAGCACGAGCTGTCGGCCTTCTCCATTGATCGTATTTCCGGCCATTTTACAATTTTATATTGAAGATTGATAACAGGACAAGTCAAATTACTCGCCGATGTCAAGTAAGTTGTCACTCTGACAAATATGATTGAAGGGCACTCATACGTAATGACAAAGTTTTCGAGACGGAGACACACAACTAAAAAATGTAAGTGACCAGTAATATATCAGCAAGGTGGTTGCTGTAACCTTTTTCTTAACCCGTGACGTTCTCTTTGACCAACCATGTTTGAACTCGCCAATAATTGGTTTTGATTATTGACCAGTTAGAATGCGATATATCGAAAATAGCTCGTCAATATTTACACAACATTAAATTTTACGCCGTAGCAATGAGGTTATGAACATCACAAGCGATGCTCAGTGTAATTTGTGCAATAATGGAAAGATGGTAGGTCCAAGAGATTCATATGTATTACTAGAATATACATGGCACCAAATGGATTACAGAGCAGCGAGATTGGAATAATGAACATTCTAGGAACATTTCATCAGGCATCAGGTATTGCGTACGTAGTTTCCACGTCAAAGGTAAACGTAAATAATATGATTTGCATCCACCTAAGAGCATTAATATTACATTTTTGAACGGTCTTTCATAAAATATTATATGTCAAAGTATTATCCTATCGAGATCGAACATGGTTGGATAAAAAGACCAAATAGCGGTAAAAATACGGTGATTATTTAAGTCATCAATATGTCAATGGATTAAGAGGTCTCTAGAAACAATCTAGTATAAACATTTTAACCCTATATTCCTATTTTGTATATTTAAAGACGCTACTTCTGCATTCTAGCCAGCTGTTTGTATTCAAACGAAGAAACATTCATGATTCGCACGATATACATAGTACGAAATATCACGTTGTCATGGTGACGTTGAATTTCATATTTTCAGATATAAGAGAACTAGTTGGTATAGTAGATCTGTAGCTAAATGAAACAGCGAAAAAAAAAAACACAATCCGTCGAAACAAGTGTGGAATAATATATCGACAGATAAGAGGAACAACAAAGCATGACAGACAACTGCTGAATAGTGACCAACTGTATCACGACAATGACTCTACTAATCACTTAAAACAATCAAAACCAGTAGTTTGACCGCTTACTCAAACAAATGCTGCTGCCGTACTATTTACCTATATACTGAGAACCAAATTTGTCTGAAAGCTTGAGTTCAGTGTGTATGAGGGAGAAGTGTGTATAGACACATAAGTCATAATGAGATAGAACCCGTCTGGATAGCGAAAATCATCACCGCGTTGCCTAGCAACACTGACGCGTAGCCAATATGTTACACCAGTTCCTTGAATTAAGATGCATGTTCAAAATATGCGTTAGTTTATTCTTTACGCCCAAATAACTGTTTTATTTTGAGCGTACACATTTTTGAATTGTAAATTGTGTCGAATCTGTTTAGGATTGATTCTCGATCGGTCCTAACCATGAGACTATAACTCGAGTTCAGGATCGCCACAAATTCTGCAACATGGCATCATTGGTTCATTTGATAACACCGCATTTTGTACAGTCTAAGATAAGGTTTCCACCTCCATGATCATAGTTGAGCTATTTCGATCAGTAACCATCTAGGGATCCTAGGGGAGTGTTCGTCCTGGCTTTCACCTGCGTACACGCAGGCAGTGATAATTTGTATTGTGTAACGTTATTTGTTACATTTTCCCACCGCAGCGTTGTCACAAAATGTTACATTTTCTCAGGATGTGTTGATTTTATCATTCGGTGAAAATCAAAGATAATTCTAAAATAAATTAAAACATTAAGTCGCATCAAAATTGAAATAAATAATTCTAATCAAAATGAGAACAAAATATTAAATTAAATGTTCGAACAGAGCTCCTTCTTGGGTTGGACGGTAACCTAACCTATTGTAACAGCCTGTGCGAACATTTTTTGGTGTAATGGCAACGCGGCAGATTGGACGACCTTCTGCGTCACCGTTGCTAGGCAATGTGTTGATGACCTTCGCTCTTCAGTCGGCTTCTATATCTTTCTAACATGTGTTGATACACAATTATCGCGGTTCTCTCTCTCGTACACACTGAACTTAAGTCGTCAGACAAATTTGGTTTTCCTTGTATTGTATTTCACACTTTCTTGCGGCAATCTACGATGCATCATTCCTTAACCTTGCCAGCTTCCTCTTGAAAAATGCGAGTATGTAGATAACTCATTTTTCTGTAAGTTCAAGAGCGTGTAAGCGTATGAAGGAATTTTATTTTCTCTTAACGCATTCCTTTATTGTTCTTCAAGTAACTATACAGTCATCAATGAAAATATTTGAGAACCGCTGAGTCTGAAGGCTGTGTCTCCACTGAGACTTACATATTATGTGTAAAGTAAAAATGACGCTATGTCAGAATTTGGACAACGATGTCCAATAATTTCTACTTTTTTCTTTTACTTTGAGCATCTTCTTGTAATCAAACAAAGAGCTTGAGCAAGGTTCGGACATTCATTGTCTTATTTAATACACCAACTACTTAACGACCCCCATGTAGCAACATTTATGTAGCACAATGTATTCATCGTCAAACATGTGGCTGAAGAACCGATCGATCGAGCGCGATCGAAAACGTTATAAAGGCAGCAGTGCACAAAATTTGTCATTTCAACGTACAACCACGTCTTTTGGCTTTAAATGTGCGTAAATCAACGCGGTTTTCATGCAGTATCGTTTATTTTATGTGTTTTTATGTGTCATTGAAGTCTAGCCCCCCTTCCCCAAAAACATCCCCAAAGTTGTGAGTAACGCGAAAAAGTTATTATTTCGTGAAAATTATAATGAAAAAATGCGGTTTTTGCGTTATTCGCATAAGACAAACATACCTCAAGTGTCCTTGAGTGGACATGGCATTAACTCGTGGTTTACCTCCAAAAAAATATATAGATATAAAAAATTACTATGTTGAATTAGATCGGAAACCCGTAATTGTTGAAAATCACCTTACGCCCAAAATTTTTTCGCGGATATCTGGTCAACTTAACGTGTTCTAACAGCCCATGGTAGTCGTTTGCTCGAGCGGGGTCCGGAACATACTTTTTCAGGGTTAGGGTGGGTTTACATGCCGTTCGCGCTAAAAAAATTATATTTCAAAAAAATTGGCTTACGCCCAAAATTTTTTTGTGCGAATCGTGTTTATTTAACATGTTCTAACATCCCACCAAGCCGTTTCCCCCAGGGGGGTC